ATATATATATATCTTTGGGGTAGTTTAATTTGTGTTTTTGTTTGAAACTTACTCCATTGGTAGGGCATTGCCAGAAAACAAGATGGAGGATCTTGGAATATCTCTCTTGTCTATTTAGCAATTTAATTATCAGAAGAATGTGAGGGGGGTAGCTTTAGTCATATAAAAATGTGACAGGCTCCTTGCCCCTTTGGGAGTTGGTTTGCAGGTCTTAATGTTGCCTTGCTGAATGCTTATTTGGAGGTATGACATATGTTGATCTCAAGACTCGTTTATGCTTCATGTCTCCAGGACAAAGTGTGGCCTTTTTAAATTTAAAATTTACTCTTTTTTTGCACAGTGCATTTTGGAGTAGGGTCCAAACCCTAATCAGACTACAGTGCAGAAAGTGGACTTAAGTGCTATATTTACAACCAAATTGCATCCATGTTTGTTTGGTGTTATGTGCTGTCAAGTCACTTCTGACTTATGGTGATCCTCTGAATGAGTAACCTCCAGAATGTAAATCGTTAAGTCCTGCTTAGATCTTGAAACTCACACCTATGACTTCCTTTATAGAGTCAGTCCATCTCATAGTTGGCAACTAGAATAGGCCCATTTAAATCAATGGAATTTATGGAGAAATTGACTTACCAAATCCCATTGATTATATAGGTCTACTTTAGGGCAACTTACTACACTAAGAAACAGGATTTTAGCCAGTGTGTCATCTGTACATCTTAGACTATTTATACTTTTTTCACTAATCTTCACTTCTTTATCTGAATCTAATCCAGATTTTTGTCTGTTATGTTTTGCAAACAACTGGTGAGATTAAATACAATTTTGCCTGACACCTTGACCTATGGGAAACTATTATTTTGTTCCATATTCTATTCTGACAATACCCTCTTGTCTCTAATATAGGTTTACACATCAGGACACTCAAGTGTTGAGACATACTTATTTTTAGAGCTATCTATAACTTTTCAAGATCCACACAAAGACTTTGCAGTAGTCTACAAACATGAACTGTTTTTCTTCCTGAAATTCTTTGGTACAATGTATATTCTCTAATGTATATTTGCAATATGATATCTTGCGCCTCTTCCTTTTTGGAATCCAGCTTGAACCTTGGGCATTTCTTGCTCCATAAATGGTAGAAGTCTTCACTGCAACATCTTGAACATCACTTTGCTTGCATGAGAAATAATGCAATAGTCCAATAGTTACTATACTCCTTAGTGTCTCCTTTCTTGAAGACTGGAGTGTATATGAAAACATTTCCAGTCTGTGGACATTGTTTCATTTCCCATATT